TTAATTCAAAAGAAAATCTGATACGAAAAACTGGGTAGCTCGGGGGGGGGGGCTGAAAAGAGGAGAAAGCTTAACGTTTAAACCATCATTTTAAAAATTGGGATAGTTCAAAATATATTATAATTTCCTGTTTATGTAAGGGTAAGCGTTGGGGGTGTATCAACACTACGCCTCATTTCACATAGAGGGCATTGTTACAAAACATATATATTCATTTAATTGTTTTCATGTAGATGTAGGCGACTCACATGAAGTGTGAACAGGAAGCGAGACACTTCCCCCAAAAGGGTGTTTTGGAAATACATGTACTTCAATGCATGTACTTCTATACATTTGGTGCATTGATGTCATGTCTGTATGTGTGTGCGTGTGTGTGTGTGTTTGCGTGGGTGTGCGTGTGTGGGGTTGTGTTTTGTTTGGAGTGTTGTAGGACGGGAAGGGGTTGTTATTTGTTTCATATTAGAACTGATTTCATTCCAAAAAGATTCGATCTTAATTTGTGAATTGTCCATGTATTAAGTTAATCGAATTATGTTATTAGGATGAAACAGAATCATATTTGAAATTATTTTAATTTTTCAAATATTAATTAAAAATAAAAATAGAATTACGGAAAGGCAACAAGTAGAATATGTGGACGAGAGCGTTTGTAGATTATAACAGAAATTTGATATGTTTGCTGTTCCAAACACACCGAGCAAACAATCAGCGAATCCAGATATTGTTTTGACATTCTTTTCAGAATAGATGTAAGACTCATTGGTATATTTTAGTCTGCCAATGACATTGCTTTCTTGACTTTTAGCGGTAGGGTTAATCAACTCAAGATTGTGCTAAAAGTAGATGATTGGTATTAACGCCATGGTCTGATTGACCATGTTGACTTGCAAGAGGGATTATTTTAATATTCTTTACAACTACTATAGTCATGAAATAATCATGTCATTATTACATTATGTAGGAAGAACGCTCTGTATGTTAAGCTAAAGCCAAAGTCATCACCCGACATTTGAAGATTCTATAAGTAATCTTGCTCGTAGCCTAACGAATTTTCTTCTCTAAATTTAAAATATTGTACATGTATTATGGAACTGATTGTGTATATTGTGTATATTGTGTGTATATATATTATTATATATATATATATTTTTTTTTTTTTTTTTTTTTTTTTTGGGGGGGGGGGGGTCTTCTTCTTCTTAGTTTATAGTATGTAAGCGATATGGAATAACTCATGAACCCTGGATTTCTAAACACACGAGAGAGAGAGAAAAAAAAAGACTGACTTTGCCTGTTAACCACACAAATATATGTCCGATCCCCATTAGTCACTCCATGCTATACGGACTGGCACACTCTTTATATCATGTCACAGTATCGTAAGTGAATAAGATATTTCATACGGCTGGGCTTGTGACAAGGGAAAAAGAAGAAAGAAAAGCACGTTTGAAAGGAACGTTCTGAAAGAAACGTACCTTGATTGAAATCATTTGCAATAATGTTCACGCTGGAAGGTTTTAAAAAAATCCTTTCATGATCACTAATAGTAACCTAAGGAGTGTGGGTGCTTTAAAACTCAAAACATGTTTGTCGAATTGATTCTAGAGTAGAATTACAATGGAAAATTATTTGAAGTGTAAACATATCCAAATTTCGTGTATTATTTTGTTCCACTTTGATACAAACATTCCTTGCTACAATAATATAATAGAAAATTTAGCAGATATATCACTGTACTGAAAAATGGAAACAATATTTTGGCTTCTGTTTATGAAACTTTACCTGATATTCAGGTCAACCATCCTTAACAAGATGTCATATATATATATATATATATACATTTGTATCATAGTGTAGTGGATCATAATGTAAGTGGAAACCCTAAAACTTAAATACCGAACTACATTCATGTATTTAGCTATGGTATATGCTTTACTTGAACATAAGGGGGCTTAAAACCGTTTAGCTGATGTTGAATAGATTGGGAAAACCCAGAATTGTTTATCTAAGCATATATATCCTGTATATGGTGAAAAACACACAAGTCCGTTTTTCAATACTTTAGTTGATGCCACTTCAAATGATCACATTAGATTCCTCCGTCCCCGGTACAAAATATTTCAAATATGTGTACTTATTAATCGATTTGTATGAAATTGAGTAGGCTCTGGCATAATAACATACCAACGACATGCAAGCTATGTTATATTTGTATATCCTAACATATATGCCGATTTTGTACTGCTAAACCGATGAAGTTACGAATTTGGTATAAAACAAGAAATTGTGTTTATTTTGAAACATCAAATTATAATCAAATCACGAGATATTGCTTGATACTACAAATATGTTCGATAATAATAATGATAATACTTTCTCGAAACACTTGTCAAAAATTTATTCATCAAGACAAATTATTTGAGCAAACAAATTCCTGAAAACCGCCTTCCATCTCGATCAAGCTTTTACAGAAATTTAGCTGCGGTTACCGCCACGCCCTAAAGCCGTTATTGCCCAGGGCATTACGTGTGGCACTACATGTATATAGTACCCACAGCCGTCTATACACAGAGTTTGGCCAACCCGGTTCGAGTTGGTCACAAAATGGCGACTACTGCTTTGTTAATGGGCAAGCACGAACAAAAAAGAATATACGTCATGATGTGACACAAACTCTCTTAATCAATGGCACTGATAGTACCCAGAGCCATCTTTCTACATCTACATGTGTATAGATGGCTCTGATAGTACCTAGCCTGTCCGGTAACCTGCTACCGTTAAAGACCAGGGTCCCGTATTATAAAACAGTTACCGTAGCGGTAAGTGCTCATTTGAGCGGTAAGTCTTAAAAGCAGCGGTAACTTTAAGATAAACGGTAAGTATCCGTTGCATAAAAACTTACCGCTGGACTTGAGCGGTAAGTCTGTAAAGATCAGCGGTAACATTACCGCTACCCTCTGAGCTTGCGGTAACACTAGCGTAACTATGGCTGACATACTGGCTGTGTTGCAAGGTCGTGGATACGAAAGGGCGAGGAGGAGGGAGCGGATCTTTAGGGATCGCGGCCAGCCCTTGCAGTTAGGGGATGGAGACATTTTTCGCAAGTACCGGTTTACACGGGATGGGTGTATTCATGTTATAAATTTGATTCGGCCCCTGTTGCAGCACGACACCCGACGGAATCAGGCACTTCCCCCAGAGTTGCAAGTTTTTATAGCTTTGAATTTTTATGCAACGGGGGCAGCTAGTGCTTGATTCCACGGCCACGATTCATGGCATCACCCGGGCAACAGCTTCCAGGGTAATTCACCGTGTGTCAGTGACCCTCGGTACACTGAAACATGAGGTAAGTCAATAAATTTTTCTTTAATAAAGCAAAGAGAAGACGAAAATACATTCTGTCTAAAATTTGTATTTTGAATTTTCAATCAGCAAATTTATAAGACTAAGAGGATGAAAAAGAACTCTATTTTTGTCATGCATGACATGCATATACTAAAAATACTATGCATTTTATAATGAACACATGGAAGACCTATTTCAGATAAATTTATATGTTTAATTAATCTTAGACGACCAAGCAATGACATGATGATAGGTCTATGCAGCGGTCTGACAATTTAGTGGTTGCCATGGGACAGAGCCCGCGACTGTGGCGGTCGGGCGGGAGGCTGGGGCAGCGCTGGCGCGGTCGGTTAGTTGGCCGAGCCTAGCTGCCTGTCTACTACTGTCACTGCAGTCTCTGTGTAGTAGTCTGTAGACCTATAGTATCATTTTATTAGTGGTCATATAATAAAAAAATAGCTACGTCTAATAGAGAATTCATAATAATAAAGACATCTTTATCCAAACTTCCTTCCCCAAGTTAGCGAGAGTGCAGGTGCTAGATGCTAGCGCTAGCGCTAGTATAATTACTATTTTGCACGTAGTCCTAGGTATATTGATTTGTGTAGAGTCGCCCATAATTTGGCGTGATATGATGCGAGCTTGATTGTATGAATCGTCTACCTATGACCCTTCATATAGGTATATTATGTCAAAACAAATTTCTTACTGAATGATGATTGCATGATGAATGACTGTCATGACGAAAACAGCACCCTTTTTAATGCACAAAACGAGAAGTCTCTCATCACATTCACATGACCAGAGGCAGAGGCAAATGTTGCATGCACACACAATACGTACTCTGAATTGAATCAGCTGAGCCCAGAGTATGGAAAGCTATATGCCAATCGATAGATATTTTAACGTCTTCAATTTCCAATTTCATCATTTCCTCTTTTTGCACAGATACCAAATAGACTTAATGATAAATTTATATGTGCATACACAGCAGTAAAATATACAACATAATTAAACTACCGTCACCCAAAAAAAAAATCACAACAAAATGATTTAAAAAAAATATAGTAAAACAATACTGCTATATATAATCAGGGAGGTGAGACTTTAACTCACATGCCCTGATATAATAAAGAAAATGATAATAATAATGATTGATGAAAAGACAAAAAAAAAAAAAAAAACACGACTGTCATGATTATATTAAGAGGAAGAACGTAGATTCAAACAAGATTCTCCCCGGAGAAGCATAAACTAATAAGTAAATAATAAATAACAGGAGAAGAGAGAGAGAGAGAGAGCTATATAGAGGCCCGGGCCGGAAGAGAGAGGCGAGGGGTATAGAAAGAAAAGAGATCAGTTTTTAAGAATAGATAGTTATAGGAATAGTTAGTTGCATCACCATTAATAGCATAACTATGAATATGTTCATGAATTCGAGTATAGCCAAAGAAAACTTGCACTCTCTCTCATAATTTTTTTTTTTATCACTTCACTATAGAACTTCTTCAGATATTTCACATACTTTTCTCAACACTTGATTGAAAGAAAGAAAGTTCATGTCCAATTCTCTGAATATTAAATGTATTCGTAGGAGATAAATATCCATATAATAATACGCTAAGGCGTCGAGGGGGGTATCCGGGGTGCGTCTTATTTTTTCGTACCACGGCGAGGCCGGATTCCTGTTTTATCATGAATATTCATTAGGCAGGGTCGGGGAAAGTCTCGATTCTCTTAAATATTCATATCGAGGTGGGAATGCACGACGCGCGCTATACTCGCACAAAGTGAGAAGATTTAGTTCACGGAGAATGCATATGGGTGAGTAATTGATTGAAATATCAGTAGATTAAGAGAATTTAGTCATTAATTTGAAAAAGCTGTAATTCGTGATCTACTGTAATTTCTTTACATTTTGAGACTGTTCTCAACAGATTTGTGGGGAAAAGGCTAGGAAAATATTTCTCTTGAAATTGCACTTTGATTTTCATCGTCGTGAAGTAGTTTGACTGCGGTTTGCCTTCATGTCACCCTTTAGAGCCCCGGGGTTCCGGCAGGCCCACGTTGGGGAATTTCGGTGCTCATCTGCATCAAGATAAAACTTTCTGATCAGGTTTTATTCCAAATTTGATCGTCATCGTGAATCTAATTCACCAATCATCCATTGAATTTAAATCTAGATTTAACGTTACACCTTAAAATAATCTATGAAGTATGATTTCTTTAATAATCCAAGAGGGTTAATTCTTGTTTATATCTTTAGTAGATGTCGACTCTGTTGGCTATACTAGTATTACTAAGACTAAGTGCTATCCGTTCGCTCAGTTGCATCATTGGTGCGTGTCAACTTTTAGACCAAAATTGTTTGTGACCATGGATAATCAAACGGCTCCAAACCATATTTCATTTAGACGTAAACCTGGAACTTATTAATACAAATATTCAAAAACAAACAAACTAGACCTAGGATTCATTTATTTAATGTTCAGATGTTGTGTGTGTCCAGTGTGCTTGTCAAGTTGCCATAACTTTTCTAGATCTAGACCTATATTAAAGATGTTTTCTTCTCCAAAGTGTGCAGTTCATTTGATACATCTATTTTTTGTTGGACGTTGTATAAGAGAAGACCCCTAGGGTAGTCAACAACTATGTTTACTTATACGCAGAGGCGGCGGAGCCTTTGGGCGGAGCAACTTCCAAAGTGGGGGGGGGGCACCAACAAAAAGGGCACTTTCTTGAAAAAGGGCACCTTCAGAGGGAAAATATACCATTTTTTTGACATTGGTATATACCCCTATTTTGTGATTACATTATCAGGGATGATTTCAATATTTGTTTCTCTTAATACAGCATTTAAGATATTGCTTAAGTATCATACTTTGCAGTTTTTGGCTTGCAGTGCGAAAAATTACATCTTATAAGGAGGAAAACCCAATCCTGATGGGGTTATATAAGCACAAAAGATTGAAACTGAAGAGCTGGAAGGAGGACATTACAACATCTCTTATATTTGCAAGATAAAGCAGAAAGTCCCATGCAGGTACAGTTATCAGGTTATTTAGCACACACATATTAAACGACCACCTATTAATTCACTCAAAAGGAAATGGAACTAAGTTGACATTGCAAGCATATATAGTGGAGGGTATATTTTATTCTAGTTCTGCACCTAGTATACAAATATTGATGTCTTTTCTTTCTATGTTTACAAAGGAAAATTTGTCCTTATTTACAGGAGGTCCTGTGTTTAGAAGAGCCATATCAAATGCACATTGTAAGCACTACATGTAGGGTATACACAGGACCCCTCATTTTTTTTTTGTAAGGGGTACTTTCACTTCTTGAGCAATGAAGATGAAGAAGAACACAAAATAAGATTGATAAAAGTCTGTTTATAGGATGTATTATGGTTGATATGTATCCATCAGTATCAGTTTTTAATTGAAGTACATGTACCTACTTTGTTTTCTCTCATGTAGGATGATGCCTCTCTACAGTGGATGATGAAGGCATTCTGGTTTGCAAACTCAGGAGAGGAACAAAGAACAGATGTTGACGGGATCATATCTAGAGATGCGGGCCTACTACACTTCATACGAGCAAGTGTGCTAATATACATGAAGGTACCCCCAATACATTTTTGTGGAACAAATGTCATGGAGAAAATTATAGATCTGAAACAGATATTTTTCATTGTCAGTTGACTTGTAAAAGAATAATTGACTTAATATCACAATTGTAATTTAGATTAAAAATTAAATGTCAATATAGATGAAATATAAGTCTACATTACGTATGTTTCAGTAGCATTATTTCCAGTACATTCTCTGGTCAAAGTTGTTTGGTCATTTTATGTCCCATACTTAACCGAGTATTATTCAATTACCGGTATGAGCACGAGTTGTATTACATTGTATTACTTTTTTCATACCTTGTCTGATCCGAGCTCCAGCAGGCCTATCGTCTTAATGGGATCATCAGTAATAATTTAAGATGCGGTCAGTATTTAAACTAGTCTTGTACAAAAAATAGTTTAGGTTTGCCCACTAGAACCCCAAGTGAATTTCAGTCCTTCCTTTTTCTGAGCAGGTATCAGGGTGTATGTTATTTATAGTCATTGTTGATTTTTTTTAATATCTTATTTCATTTTTCCATTCAACAGACTTGGGTTATATTTTTTTCTGAAAACTAGGCTACAACTTTAGTGATGGATGCAGAAGATATCTACACGAGACTACGTCTTAAAGATGCCACCCTCATATAATGAAAGAGGACAATAGAGATGGGTTTAAACTGGAATATTTACATGATATTTATTTGTTATTTGTATTATATGTTTGTAGAATACTACATTCAATAAAGCTAATGAAGTTTATCATCTTGTCGACTTTCAAATAATTAAAGATAACTAATCCTCAACGAATAAACATTAAAATTCTAACAATGTCAACTACCATCTTATAGGATGAAACTGAGGACTGGGCAGAAAGATTCTCCTTCAGATTTGATTGATAAAGGTCTATCAGTCTATATCAAAGATTGAATTAATCAATGATATTTTGATTATAATTATACATGTTAAAATTCATTTACCTCTATGGACTTCTGTATGGGAAGTTTTGTAGATTATGAAATTATTGCTACTTCAAGTATTGTATGTAAGAAGGTTTGAAAGACAACACTCTAAATGCATTAAATATGGAAACTGCTAATCCTCATTGCCTTTCGTATCCAAACTGGTAGCTTTCATAGAATCATGTTTCGATGCTTCCCAACTAAAGGAAACAGGGAGTGGGGGGGGGGGGCTTGCTATCCTCTTATCTTATCCTCTGTACAAATATGATTATATGTTTATATTAGAAGGATTTAGAAAGTGAAATTTTGAATTATAGCATTACTGTTGGTAGAAGTAATGGCAGTGTCGGGAGGGGGGGGGGGTTCCTGGTGAAATTTACGGTTTGCCAATGTCAAATTAATAAAAGTAGAAAACTTTTCTTAATAATAAAAATTATACAGTACATGGGCCTCCTAACAAAAACCCTGGTACCACTGTTGTGTTTTGAGTGTTTTTTTTTTGGGGGGGGGGGGGGGCTGGCAAACCAATTACAAATTTCCAGTGTTAAATTCAAATTTTTTCTTTAACAAAATTATGTCAATATATTGTAATTAAACAATGTTTCACTTTCCTTTTTTTCAAGTTAGATATTTGAATAAAATGATTAACATACTTTCCGGTTTCTCTGGCCTCTACATTAAAAATGTTCTACTTCTAGCAAAGCTCCTGGAAAGGCTGCAAAAAGGGAGAGTGAAGAGAATGAAATTGAAATGTGGACAGTAATGGAGTGAATATGGAATGGTTGATGGTAGTTGATAACGAGTGAATGCACATGAGTGGCAACAAGTACGACTGAAAGTGAGACAGAAAGGAATTGCAACAGGTTGCTCAGTCAAGAGAACAAACCTTGCAGAAGATAGTTTTCGAAAGACAGAGAAAGAGAGAAAAGGGGAATTATAAAAAAAGGAAAAGGGGGCATGTGTCAAAGGGGCATTTATGAGAAAAGGTTGGGGCTCCTATTAAACAGGGAAAGGGGCACATATCAAAAGGTAAAAGGGCACTTGTTAGAAATTTTAAGGGGACGCGTGTCAAAGTAAAAAAAATGAAAGGGCTTTTATCAGATATCACAAGGGGCACTTATGAAAATGGAACAGTGGCACTTATTATGAAGTTAAAGGGGCATTTGTTGAAGAAAAAGGGGCACCTGTCAGATTTGAATAGTGGGTAATTATCGCCAGGGCCGTAGCCAGAGTTTGGGGGGGGGGCACATACATGTAATTGATCGACGTCCTGGGGAGGGGTCAAAAAGAGTTTAACCGATCTTGGATTTTTTTTTTTCTTCTTTTTTTCTTTAATGTATGTGAAAGAATGTGTAGTTTTCTCTCGAGTTTGTCTCATCATGCGTGGGATCTGTGGGTGCTGGGGTTCCTGCAGCAACCCTGTACATGGATTTTCTTCAGTGGGTGCATATAACTCGATATTATATTATCTTGCTCCTTTCCCTTTTTCTTTTGTCTTCTTTTCATTTTAATTTTCTTGCAATTTATTTCTTTCTTCCTTGGTATCTATTCCGTATTCTTTATTTCTTCCATTCATTTATTATTTATATATATTTTACTTTTTAACTTTGTTATTCTTCTTTCTAATCCCATTTTTCTTTCTTCCTTTTCTTCCTTATGCAGTTAAGTGAGCATAGATCATAGAAATAAGTGCAATACACAAGTATTTTATTTTTGATAAATGTCTGTATGTAGGTCTATTCTTGTTATCTATTTTATACAGTTTATAATACTGTATCACATATTCAATACCATAATGCAACCTCTGCTTGTAATATTTAAAAAGCAAACCTAGAACTGATTATTTACCAATTCATGAAAAGAACTAGACTCCCATTAATCTCAGAAAAGTAGGCCTAGGCTACTCACAAATTGCCTATCAAGACTCTTACTTGAAATATATACTATATATCTTGTCTACCGGTACTGACATTTTGGCATTTACTAGTAATTAAACACAGCATTTATGACTGTATTATCTAAATGACCATGACATTGCTTTTCTATGTCATATTATAGGCCTGCCATTAATCCAACGTACTTGTTACACACGATATTCGATGCTGCGCATGCCTCGATCATACATGAATATTCAAGAGAATCGAGACTTTCCCCGGCCCTGCCTAATGAATATTCATGATAAAACAGGAATCCGGGCTCGCCGTGGTACGAAAAAATAAGACGCATCCGGGGTCCATTTTACGGCGCCCAAATCTCCCCTCCCGCCCGCCCCGGGCGCCGCCGGGCGGTCCCGCGGACGGACGGGGTTTCAATCTACGGAATTGGCCACGTCCCGGCCCGGTGCGACGTCCCGGCCCGGTGCGACGTCCCGGTCGTCGTCGACGTCGTCGATGCGTCCGCACGTCCGAGTTATCTGTCACGAATTTCATGCTTTAGCATGAAACGGAAGTGGACGAGCGGTCTGAGGCGCCGGTTGCGTTCGATTCGCCGGCAGCTCTTGCACTTTTTGCACGCACGGGTTCATCCCGCCTCCGTCTCAAGTGTTTTTTTGTTCTTCCCCGTGTTTGTTTTGTATATTTTAGATGTTGTAATCTTTACCATTTTTTAAATTTTAATTAAAATGTAGACCTCATATTTAAAATTTAAACGAGTCGAGTCTTTATTTGATATTTATTAGCTTATTTCATGATCAGCGCAACACATGTCTTCCCATCCACGTCCAAACTTAGAGACCTATTTCCATCATTATTGCCGGGATTTTTATATAGTTTTCGTGAGTGGAGGTATGAAATCAAAGCTTATTTTGTGATTATTCTGGCCATGTTTACTCAGTTTTGATTATCATTTATTAAAGGAAAGTTTTCACAAGAAAATCAGAGAAAAACATCGTTCAGTTTCAAGAGCTCTGCCGTACGCATACAGTGTGTAGTGCAGTGCACTATAGTGGCGCTGGCTGCTCGACTGAGTGAGTGAGTGAGCTATTCAGAGTCGAAGAGACTATGAAGGGCCAAACATGCCAATATTCGACAACTATACGCTATATTATGTATCCATCCATGCGACTATTTATGTCTATCCATTCATTGAAGTAGGCCTACACGTGAACACAACAGCGGGCAGGCCGAAGTGCCATAAGATCGTTGGGGGGAGGGGGGGGGGGGGCAAAATATTTTTTTTTGCATCTTACATGTTACAAAAAAAATCTGCATCTTACATGTTACATGCAGACCCCACAAAACATTTTTCAAAGTGTGGGGGGGGGGGGGCGAGGGGGATCAGGTAGATCGAAGCGAGTTGAGTGTAGGCGTGGGGTCCACGGGTTTCAAGGGGCCATAAACCCCCGAAAGCTCGGGGGGTTTAGGCGTTTAATTAGGGTCAGATGAGCATATTTTCAATACTTTATTTGGCGTGGGGTCAATACGTAGAGTTGCGTAGTGTTGCGTACCAACTACGCTGACCTACGTTACTATATGCTGGGGGACGGAAAGGGGTACGCAAGATGAACGAAAACAATTCAACATGTTTAATTTTTTTCGCGTACTTTCGGCGTAGAAACTTGACGCAGAAAGTACGCCTTTTTACGCAACACTACGCTACATGACTACGCAACAGTACGCTACCCTACGCCAGATCGACTAAGCAGTAAAAGCTTTCCACACAGTAAGCAACCATAAGCAAACCTGTACGCCAGCCTACGCATAACCTACGCAGGGACTATTTTCCCATTAATACGCAGCCTAATTTCTGCGTAGTCGGTACGCCACACTACGGAACTCTACGCAGTTCCAGTGGCTTAAAGAATAACTACCGGTATAGTTGGATCGTTTTTTTTTTTTTATATAAGGCCAAATTAAAAAATGTTTAGCGTCCTGTTTTTTCGAAAAATGGGAAGGAGGCCCTTTTTTTCTTTTTTTTTTCTTTCAAAATGGCCGCTCCATACATTTTCCCTGACATTTAGGCTATTTTTCAAGATGGCGGCCGACAATTTTTTTTTTTTTTTTTTAAATCAGAAATACATTTTAGCAGTGCTTTTCATGTTTTTTTTCTTTCAAAAAAAAAATAAATAAATAAATAAATAAATAAATAAATTAAAAAAAAATAGGAGGCGGCCCCCAAAAAATGAAGCAGGAGGGAACGCTGTTTTTTCTTTCAAAAATAAAAAAAATAAAAAAATAAAATATTTAAAAAAAAAGCGGGCGGGGACGCTAAACATGTATATTTTTTTAATGGCCTGAATGGCAAATAAAGTTCTTGGTGGTTTTAATTTAGACAGTCTCTATATATCTATTTACACCCCCCGCCCCCCTCTAGAATCCCGTGGATTTCCGCGGGTCCTGCTACTCTATAATAATAATACGCTAAGGCTCCGCGGGGGGCGCGACGTCTCCGCGAGCCTTTGTATTCTATTGTTTTTTAATGAGATCGCCGACCGAAGTTGGTGCAGCTAACTCCTCCTGAACCCTCCCCTCGGGGTACCCGTGCCCGGTGCCATCGTCCGCGGGAGAGTCTACTCTGTGGAATTGGCTATACTCCGCCCGAGGTCCTCCTCCGTGTCGACGTCCAGGGCGAAAACAGACGCGATATGCATAATGCAGGATATGCGTGACGACAGAGATACCTCATGGATATTCAACATGACATCCGTAGACACACGACCGATGACTATCCGTATAAAATTGTATACACAAAAATCGGTCGTAAAAAAACTCGAACCATATTCCATACCTTACCTGGCTTACCATGTCGCACGCAAGTACGC